TGTAAATGGAAAAAGGTAAAGCCTATCTTTAATGTATTTAATAAACATCTTGTTGAAAATTATTTAATTGCTTTAAAACGAATGAAATGTAAGAATGCAAAGTGTCTGTGGAATGGATTTGAACATTTGAAAATATTTGAAGACCTCTGATTGTAGTTGTACAACTGTGTGAATGTGTATGATTTTTTTTCTTTTGTTTATTTCTATTGTTTGCGCTGTTCTATCTTGTGCCTTGAAAATGTTATTTCTCCTGTTTATTGTTGTTATATCCCTAAACGTTTGTACACTTGAACTGATATTACAAAAAATGTTTCTGTATATAAAGAAACCATCACTTCCTTGTCTTGGTGATGTTTCAAACTGYTAAACACTGCCACCAACTGTTCAGGAGGATTATTACACTCCTAAAGGTTGTTTCACTGTGGAAGGAGTGAGTACAGCAGGGTGACCAATGATTTGTCTGTGGTGGCCATGGCCACCCCCTGGCTCCGCCCCTGCCTACATCTTTTTGAGTTCACAGCAGTATATTCAATCATTTTTAATGAAGCTGATTGTATTGTTTAAAGAGAAACGGACCTGATATTCCGGTGAAGTCTGCGGCTGTGGGGTTAAAAGCATCACTGATGCCCATGGCAGCGAGTGCTGACCTCAGGTTGACCTTGTTCTGCAGTCTGAACCTGCAAACATCAGACAGAACTAAGCTGTGCTGCTTCATCTCAAAAGATGCAATATATATATATATATATATATATATATACAACATCCCAGTGCAGAAAGGTCACCTGGGTAGGAAAATGTCCATCTTGGTCCTGCGCAGGCCCGTGGTCCAGGCAGCCAGGTGACGTGCAGTGAGCTGGGACTCGAGGAAGGACAGGGAGGTCTTCCTGTCGCTGGGCAGGACCACCTGCAGACTCAGAGAACCACCCAGGTAGGGCAGCTCGAGCACAGTGTAGCGCTGCTCAGAGGCCATTCTGAACTGACCTGCAGGACAGGTCCAAAGCGTCACTCATTCAGACCTTTGGGTTTATTTCTGTTTTAACAAAATGACCTAAATTGTGTTTGTAAAGGAGATCAAAGTGAAGTTTCTAACCGAAGTTGACGTCTGCTGCCTGATACATCATGGGCACCTTGATGGTGCTGCCATCAGAGAGGGTGAAGGGCAGGTTCTGTGTGTTGGTGAACACAAACTGTTTCTGCCACACACCCCTGAACGTCACCGTGTTGACCAGCGCCACCTGCAGCCTGGTCCCCCAACCTGAGGCCTCTGCTTGGGCCTCACCTGAGCCCGACAGCTCGTTACTGCTGCTTCCTGAGTGGAGGGGCCACAGCTCATCTGGATACAAACAAACATACATATAGTTAGTTCAGTTTTATTCATTTATGAAGCACCCTTAAAAGCAGCTCAAGGTGCTATACAAGATTATGCACAATAAACAAACCCATAAAATAAGAAAACAATACAATAAAAACCCATCCATTCATCCATTTTCTTCCTCCTATCCGGGGTCGGGTCGCGGGGGCAGCAGCTTCAGAAGGG